AAACAAGAAAGACCACTGCATGGGAGAACATATTTGCCAGTGCTATTTCAGATAAGGGTTTAATCTCCACAATTTACAGGGAACTCACACAACTTAACAAAAGGAAGATAAACAATCCAATCAAGAAAGGGGCAAAGGACCTAAGTAGACACTTTTCGAAAGAGGCCATACAGAAAGCCAAGAGATATATGAAAACATGCTCAAAGTCACTAATTATCCAAGAGATGCAAATCAAAACAACAGCGAGGTACCATCTCACACCTCTCAGAATGGCTATCATCAACAAATCAACAAACAACAAGTGCTGGCGAGGATGTGGTGAAAAGGAATTCTTGTGCACTGCTAGTGGGAATGCAGACTGGTGCAGCCACTGTGGAAAACATTATGGAGTTTCCTCAAAAAATTAAAAATGGAACTCCCATTTGACCCAGTAATCCCATTTCTAGGACTATATCCCAAGAAATCAGGAACACCAATCAGAAAGGATATATGCACCCCTATGTTTATAGCAACAATTTACAATAGCTAAGATTTGGAAACAGCCTAAGTGCCCATCGCAGATGAGTGGATTAAAAACTGTGGTTCATCTACACAATGGAATACTATGCTGCTATAAAAAAGAACTTTTACTATTTGCAACAGCATGGATGGAACTGGAGAGCATTATGCTAAGCAAAATAAGCCAGTTGGAGAAAGATAAATACCACATGATCTCACTCATATGTGGGATACAATAATCAACATAAACTGATGAACAAAAATGTATCCAGATACAAGGTGGCACTGAGCAGACTGTCCAACCTTAGGGAGAAGGCAGGGGAGGGGGGGGTTAGAGATCAACCAAAGGACTTGTATGCATGCATATTAGCATGACCAATGGACAAAGACACTGGAGTGTTGGGGGCTTAACCTCAGGGGTGGGTGTGGCCAGGGGGTGTTAATAAGGGAAAAAAGGAGACATGTAATACTTCAAACAATAAAAAAATTAAAAGAAGAATAACATTGTGTGAAAATTATGTGAAATTCAAATTTAAGCCTCATAAAGTTGTGGAACACAGAAAAAAAAAGAATCAACCAATGAATGCATAAATAAGTGGAGCAACAAATGGATGTTTCTCTCCCTCTCTCCCTCTCTCCCTCTCTCCCTCTCTCCCTCCCTCTTCCCCTTCCTCTCTATAATCAATCAATCAATAAATACTTTTTTAAAAATTCCCTTTAAAGAAAGTATGCTCTCTGAGCCAGAGGGGAGCTGGCTTATAAGGACAGAAGTCCCTTTCCCTGGTCCCTGTTGGTCCATATTCATGCAAATAACGGCTCCAAATCCTCACAATTCGATTGGCCCAAAAGGTACTGTCCTGATTGGTCAGAATAGAGCCACTCTGGATAGGGAACGCCTCAATTCTATTGGTTGAAATAGGAACCTTTTGTAAGGGCTGGCTCAGATGACCGAAATACAGTGCAGGCAGGCAGTTTAGCTCAGGCTTCCTTGGAAGTACAGTTTGCGTGAGAGGCCCCTGTGCAGAAATGGCTGGTAGGTTCTGATTTTTGTTGTTGTTGTTTTTTAAATTTGAGCCTGCTTAGTCACCAGGAGCCCTTCTCGTAGATGTCTTTTTCCCTAGGGGTTCACAGGTGGTAATCTGTGGGGCAAAAGAGTTGGAGGATAATGCCTTACATTTTCATCTCTGGGACAGAGATTCCCATTCACTTAAACTGAATTTATTGCAGAGAAAAGACATAAGCTAAACATTAAAATCTAATCAATGCTAGTTTGCTTTGAGATCATATTAAGAGAGTACACTTAATTATCAAAGCTGGAATCTATACGTATTTTGATATAGATAAACTTTATATCTATATTAATATGCATTCTATTACATTATATCACATTAACTATATTAAGACTATTATATTAATTATATTATTAATATAATATTGCTGTACATTATTAATATTAAGAATATTGATTTTTTTTATATAACACCTAAAAGAAAAAAATCTGTTCTATATTCATGTGACTATGTGGGTTTCATCTTATATGATATGTGAATTCCTACTTTCCCAATTCTAAACATGTCGGTGGTACCTCTTTTTTTTGAAAAGTAAAAAGTATACTCATTTTCTCTTTTATTTTGTAACTAGAGGCCCGGTGCACAAAAATTTGTGCACTCAGTGGGGGGGGGGGTCCCTCAGCCCGGCCTGTGCCCTCTCGCAATCTGGAACCCCTCAGGGGATGACCACCTGCTGGCTTAGGCCCGCTCCCCAGGAGATTGGGCCTAAGATGGCAATCAGACATTCCTCTGGCAGCCCGGCAGCCCTTGGGGGATGTCCACTTGCCAGCCGGGAGCAGGCCTAAACTGCAGTCAGACATCCTTAGTGCTGCTGAGGAGGCAGGAGAGGCTCCTGCCACCACCGCTGTACTGGCTGCCATCAGCCTGGCTTGTGGCTGAGCAGAGCTCCTCCCATGTGAGAGCGCCCTGACCACCAGAGGGCAGCTCCTGCATTGAACGTCTGCCCCCTGGTGGTCAGTGTGTGTCATAGTGACCAGTCATTCCCAGTCCTTCTGCTGTTAGGATCAGTTTTCATATTACCCTTTTACTATATAGGATAGAGGCCTGGTGCATGGGTGGGGCCCGGCTGGTTTGCCCTGAAGGGTGTCCCGGATCAAGGTAGGGGTCCCGCTTGGGTGCCTGGCCAGCCTGGATGAGGGGATGATGGCTGTTTGCAGCCGGTCACACCCCCTTCAGGGTGGGGGTCCCCACTGGGGTGCCTGGCCAGCCTGGGTGAGGGGCTGATGGCTGTTTGCATCTGATCGCACCCCCTTCAGGGTGGGGGTCCCCACTGGGGTGCCTGGCCAGTCTGGGTGAGGGGCTGAGGGCCATTTTCAGGCTGGCAGGTGACTGAAGCTCCCAACCTCTCCTTTTTTTCTTTTTTCTTTTTTTATTCTGGGATTTATTTACCTTCCATGGCTGTCACTGGAACTGAGAGCCGGCTTTAGCTCTGAGGCTTGGCTCCAGCTCTGAGACCTCGGCTGCTGAAAGCAGGTATCTGGGTTGGTTTGGCTTCTATAATTGAAACACTGTTGCAGCTCCAGCTCTGAGGGTTGGCTGGCTGAAAGCAGGTTTCTGGGGTTTGTTTAGCTTCTATAATTGCAACATTGTTTCTTAGAGTGCAGCTCAGAGGCCAGCAGCGGCAGGCGGGGAATCTTGGCTTCCTCCATCACTGGAGCAAGCAAGCCTCCTGTTCGCTTCAGCTGCCTGGCTGCCAGCCGCCATCTTGGTTGGCAGTTAATTTGCATATCGCCCTGATTAGCCAATGGGAAGCGTGTCGGAGGTTCGGTTAATTACCATGTTTGTCTATTATTAGATAGGATAAATGAAGGCATTCAGTTATCTAGAGTGACACAAGATCAAAACAAAATTGACTGGTTGCAAGCCAATCTGGTCTATTTCACCCTGTGCCAATGCTGTTCTTATTATAGCTGTGAACATTTACATCCAGGAACTACTAGTTTCCTTTGCATCATCCTCTGGCTACACTGTACCTTATAATCCCTGAGCCCAAGCTTCCTACCACATTTGTTGCTGAATTCTGTTCTTATATCTACCACCACCGGAGGCCGATTACCCAAATTAGTACATAGCCATAGAGGCTAGTCATTGTGACCTCTAGTCAATGGTTAACCACAATTTCTTATATAAAACTATAGAAGAAGGTCTTACAAAAAAATTGCAGCTGACAAGCATATTTGTAAATAGCCTCTTAGTGAGAGTCTTATAACTCCCCATGTTGGCTATCAGATTCATGTTCAGATGAGTTGCCATACGAGGCAGGAGCAGGGATGTTAGAACAGGATTGAGGTCATTTTACTTATTCAATAAATACAGGGTGTCCCCCCAAAAATGTATATACATTTTAATAGCTGATAGCTCGATTGATGTTACTTTCTTTTCAGATTTAACCTGTTGGAATTAAAAATTATTCAGAGTGTGTATACATTTTTGGGGCTACCCTGTATTTCCCTCTGTGTTCAAAGAACTGTGCTAGGAGCTAAAATACAAAGATGAATAAAATGTGGGATCTTGTTTCATGAAGCTTTTGGTCTAGTGACAAAAGTACAATTCCAGCACTAAGTAAAGATGCTATGAAAGCATCAAAGGGGGAAGCTATTGACTCCCTGAGGAAAGTTAGGAATGGCTTTCAGAGAAGAGATGCTTGAGTTGGATCCTGTAGGAAGAGTAGGTATTTTCCCAAAGATGAGTATACAGCCCCTGTTGGTGTGTCTCAGTGGTTAGAGTGTCAGCCTGCACACTGAAGGGTTGAGGGTTCAATTCCCAATCAAGGGCATGTACCTAGGTTGGAGGTTTGATCCCTAGCCCCGACTAGGGGCGAATATGGGAAGCAATCTCTCTCTCTCTCTCTCTCTCTCTTTCCCAATCTCTAAAAATCAATGTAAAAAATATCCTCTGGTGATGATTAACAAAAAGAAAGAAAAAAGATGAATATACAGTTATAAGTAGAACACATCCAAATTCACAGGGCTAAGAAATAGAAGCAAGGCACATTTGGTCACCTGTGGGTAGTTTGGAAATGAGGATGTGAAGTTTAACACACACCGTAAAATAATTTTGCAGAGAGGTAAGGGCCAGAATGCAGAAGTCATTGCATGCCATGTAGGGGAGTTTAAATATTATTCTGGACAGTGGTAAATCATCAAAAGGATTTAAGCTGGAATTTATAAGGTTAAAATTGAGTTGTAGAAAAGTCCCTACTAACAGTATAGAGTACCACCTGGTTGTAACATCTGGGATGCTTGGAAAGTTAAAATACCACATTTTAAAAGGTCAGAACTCAAAATCTGTCTCTTCAGTTGGGCTTTCCTCTCGCTCAAGCACTTCTTTGATATGGAATTATTTAAGCAAAAACAGTACCACTAATAAAGGGTAATGTCTTCAGCTTTCAGGGTCTGAGCTGAGAGCTGATTTCTCTTTGTTTGATTTCAGGATCACCATCCATCTCAGCAGGGCCAAGGTGGGTTACATGGAATCTATCTCAGGGCCTTCTGCACAGGTCTGGACTCCGTTTTGCAGCCTTATCGACAAGCACTGCTTGATTTGGAACAAGAGGTGAGAGGAGATATGGGAACAACACCTCTGGGACAGAAGATTAGGGCATGTTTTTGAATTTGAAATGCCTTTTGATATGGTCAGGTGGTTAGGAGTAAGCTATTTTCAACATGGCTGGAGAGTACAGTGTATTCTCTGTGATTGTCCAAGCCATGATCAAAGTGGCATGCAGCTCATGGCAAAGGTTCCTGAGTAAGAAGAGCCCTAGCTTTGATTTTATTATCACCTGAAAATCAGAATTATCTTCTATAAATCATCAATTCTCAATAGCCTAAAACTAACACTAAGCCCATTCTTAGATTTCATTCTAGTTTTCATAGATCAAATAGATTTGGGATATTTTGTATGGAGCTCTAATCACGGTGTTTCTTGTTGCAGTTCCTGGCTGACCCCCACCTCTCCATATCACATGTCAATTATTCCTTAGATCAGGTATGCCGCGCAAGTAACAAAATGCCTTGGAATCTGTTGATACTGTTAAAATAATGCAACTTGTGAAATTTTTTGAGAACTTTTTTCCTTCTGGATTAAAATAGCCCAGCATTTTATATTTTGTATGCTTTCCTAGGTCAGAACAGTTTGAAAAGCTCCAAATTTAGTTAAAACTTAATGTCTGATGTTAATGCTCTAAATTGACCTCAATATTAACAGTTTTGCTAGTCTCAGAAATAGAGACTGCTTCTATATGCCATTCTCTTTCTATCTGCCACTAATCCCATATCAAGTTGCCTTAAGATATTGGATCTTGCCCTAGCCAGTTTGGCTCAGTGGATAGAGCGTCAGCCTAGGGACTGAAAAGTCCCAGATTTGATTCCTATAAGCTGGTTGCAGGCTCAATCAATCCCAGCCCTGAGCAGGAGGCAACCAATGTGTCTCTCTCACATCATGTTTCTTTCTCTCTGTCTCTCCCCCTCCCTTCCACTCTCTCTAAAAGTCAATGGAAAAATATCCTTGGGTGAGGGTTAACAAAAAAATAAAAAATAAAAAAGATATTGGATCTTGGCTGCTCTATGGTATTGCCATCTTTGTTAAGTGGGATTATTTAGAAACAAAAGCATTTCCTGAAGTAATTTTTTTCCTTATATTTGATGATAGATCCTCCTAATTATTCTCTACTTTGCAGTTCCAGCTCCTTTTTCCCTCTGTGATGGTTGTAGTAGAACAAATTAAAAGTCAAAAGGTGAGAACTATTCTTTTTCCTTTTGCTTCAGTAAGCATCAAGTAAATATTCTTAATTTTGCCTTACATTCTTTTTTGAAGACTCTAGATTTTAGTAGTTTGTATGTATGTATGTATGTATGTAACAATATTTGCTTGGGTATTATGCTAAGTGTCAAGAATGCAAAAATAAATTATGACCTTGCCCCTAAGTATCTTCTGGTCCAGAAGGTGGGGAAAATGTTAATAGACATACTCAAGAATGCTGTTGGATAAGAGAATAATGCTATGGATATTTGGAGTTGGGAGCTTTTTGCACTAAGGATTTAAAACTGTTGTATATGGATCTTAAGGAGAAGCTAAAAGTTAATTCTTAGAAAAAAAGAAGGCAATAGTTTCTTGTTAGGGTGTTGGCAGTTTTATGAAAATTAGGCCATTAGGTAAAACCTCATGCTTATTATTTATTAAATATGCCTATTCTTATCACAAGTTTTCATCAAATGCACTGAAAAGTTAGGGTTCCCAATGTCAGGAGAATGTCTTTTCTAGGCAACATCAATAATTCTGAAGAGTAAATGCTTTGAGATTTCACATTAGAAGAAGAATTAAATGGATTAAACGTGTGTTTTTAGCTCATTCATGTTTTTAAGCTGTTATATTTCTGCCTTGCCTAATTAGGAGTGTTCACCTTGGTGAATATAACTATTTAGCCAGTTAATTTGCCCAGTTTCTACTTTATTTTTTCACCTTGTGAGTATAGAAATTTATATTTTGCTGCATTCACTCTGTCTAGCAAAGCCAGAAGGGGAGGTGCTCTTTGGTCTTTCAAAGCTGATTGTCCTCATCATATAACATAGAGATTTTTTTTTTAAGTATTTTATTGATTTTTTACAGAGAGGAAGGGAGAGGGATAGAGAGTTAGAAACATCAATGAGAGAGAAACATCGATCAGCTGCCTCCTGCACACCCCCTACTGGAGATGTATCCACAACCAAGGTACATGTCCTTGACCAGAATCGAACCTGGGATCCTTGAGTCCGCAGGCCGACGCTCTGTCCACTGAGCCAAAGCGGTTAGGGCAACATTGAGCTTTTATTGTGCACTTGCTGTGTACCAGGCACTGTGCTAAGTACTTTACATACATTCAGTCCTCTAAGGGGTCAAATAGGTTAAGGAACTATCTGGGGTCACACAGATGGTAGGAAATGGTAGAATTGGACTATAAGCCCACATCTGTCTGACTCCAAAGACTATGACCTTCTGAACTCTACTAATCTATCTCCTAAATTGGAGGGCACCTTCTCAGTGACTGGATTTAGTATAAGGATTCCATGCCTAGCTGCACATTTCAGTTGACTTCCAGCTTCCACTGGCCACAGGAAGGAGAGTGGAAAATGAGCAGAGGGATTGCTGATGGGCAAACCTTCCTTCCTGCCAGGGAGTGGTAGAGAAGCTAGTGTGCTATGGCTCTACCCAGCGAAAAACGGATGTAGCCAAGAACATGGGCTGGAGGTGAGACTGGGGATGATTGCAGACAGGCAAAAGGGATCCTTTTAGAATGATGGAAATGTTATGAAAGTGGATTATGGTAATTGGTTGCACAATGCTGTAAATTTACTAAAAATTGTTGAGTAGTACACTTAAAATGGGTGAATTTTATGTTAGGTAAATTATTCATCAATAAAGCAGTTGTTTTTTTTTTTTTAAAGAGAAAGCCAGAAGGCATAGAAAGAGGGGGCAGATTTTTAGAAAAGTGTATACTTTAGAAGTAGTATAAATTAGGCCTTAATCTGAAAGAAAGAGATTTCTTTACCTCTTTGCTTGGAATTTCAACTAAATGTTTCTGGTTTCTCTAGTGCAATACTTCTCAAAATTCATTGTGCATTATAACCACCTGAAGCAAATTGTTAAAACCAGGTTGCTGGGCCCTACCCCAGAGGGTCTGATTCAGGAGGCCTGGAGTAGAGCCCAAGACTTTGCATTTCTTTTAAGTTCCTAGGCGATGCTGCTGCTCCTTGAGGTGGGGCCAAATGGAGAGGGGTAGGGAGGCTGTAGAATCCATACTTAGAGAACAACTATTATGATATTCTGATTTATAAGAAATACTTATTTGGTCTTCCTGTTGTTTGTTGTGCCGAGCTCAGCACGGCCAGGGGTGAACCTGAGAGGGGGTGGCAGTGAAGGATTAAAGAAGAAAGGCAGGGACCCTTCCCCACTCCCCACGTGGGAGTCTGTACTTGTTCTTCAATAAATTTCCCTTTGCTATACTAAAAAAAATAAATAAATAAATAAAGAAGACAGACAAGAGAATAAAGCTGGGGCTATGTGAGACGCTGCTCTTGGATGGGGAGACAGTGCTACAGCCTGCAAGCCGAGTCTTTATTTTATACCCAGATTCCAGGAGGCAAAGTAAGGGCGTGGTCAAGATGTTTACAATGTTTTCATGGGTTTCGAATCTACTCAATTACATGCACCTGAACTCTATCAAGCTTTGTTTTGGCAGCACTTGCTGCACCTCCCGCAGCCTACCTCACTTAGTTCGGACCATAAGGTCAAGCTTACAACCACAGACTTTGGCTATAATTGTGCTGGGAGGGCTTTGCCCTCCAAGCTGGGACTTGCATGTGGCAAACGAGAGGACCATGACCTCTCTTTAGTCTGAGGCTTGAACCTGCCCAGATGCTGTAGCTGCTCTCCACAGTTTGTGGCACAAAGCTCCTAAAACCCTTGGAATTTCCTAAGTGGTAAGAGTGATAAAGGTGTCTTGATATTCATAAGAAACCCCTATCAACCTCACCTGAGTTGTTGTTTTAAATTGTGTATTTTTTTAATCCTTACCTGAGGAGATTTTTTTCTATTGATTTCTAGAGAAAATAGAAGAGAGGAAGAGGGAGGGGGGGAGAGAGAGAAACTTTGGTGTGAGAGAGACACATTGATTGGCTGCCTCCTGCACATGCCCCTACTGGGGCCTGGGAAACTGCAACTGATGTACATGCCCTTGACCAGAAATTGAACTCATGACCCTTTGGTCCTCAGGCCAACATTCTAACCACTGGGCAAAGGTTGGTTGTTTTTCTGGGTTTTTAAAAAATATTTATAAATTGGGGTGACATTAGTCAACATGAACATATTGGTTTCAGGTGTGGGTTTCTAAGTTACAAGACCTGTATATTGCACGGTGTGCCCACCATCCAAAGTCAAACTTCTCTTTTCACCTTATCTTAGGTCCTACTCCTTTCCCCACCCCCTTCCCTCTGGCAACCACCACACTCTTGTTTGTGTTCATGAGTTTCAGTTTTATATCCCACATATGTGTGAAATCATATGGTTCTTAGCTTTTTCTGACTTATTTAGCATGATGTTCTCAAGGTCCAACCATGTTGTTGCAAATGGCACTATTTCATCCTTTCTTTTTTTTTTTTTTAATATATTTTTTATTGATTAAGATATTACATATGTGTCCTTGTCCCCACGTTACCCTCTACCCCCCCAACCCCCCCGCTCATGCCCTCACCCCCCCATTGTCCATGTCCATTGATTAGGCCTATATGCTTGCATATAAGTCCTTTGGTTGATCTTTCCCCCTTACCCCCACCCTCCCCTACCTTCCCTCCAAGTCCCGACAGTCCAATCAATGCCTCTCCGTCTCTGGATCAGTCCTTGTTCATCAGCTTATGTTGTTCATTATATTCCACAAATGAGTGAGATCATGTGGTATTTATCCGCTCTCCAGTTCCATCCATGCTGTGGCAAATGGTAAGAGTTCCTTTTTCTTCTTCCTCTTCTTAAAGAATACCTTTCAGCATTTCATATAATGCTGGTTTGGTGGTGATGAACTCCTTTAGCTTTTTCTTATCTGTGAAGCTCTTTATCTGACCTTCTATTCTGAATGATAGCTTTGCTGGATAAAGTAATCTTGGTTGCAGGTTCTTGCTATTCATCACTTTGAATATTTCTTGCCAGTCTCTTCTGGCCTGCATGGTTTCTGTTGAGAAATCAGCTGACAGTCGTATGGGTACTCCCTTGTAGGTAACTGACTGTCTTTCTCTTGCTACTTTTAAGATTCTCTCTTTATCTTTTGCTCTTGGCATTTTAATTATGATGTGTCTTGGTGTGGTCCTCTTTGGATTCCTTTTGTTTGGGGTTCTCTGCGCTTCCTGGACTTGTAAGTCCATTTCTTTCACCAGGTAGGGGAAGTTTTCTGTCATTATTTCTTCAAAAAGGTTTTCAATATCTTGCCCTCTCTCTCCTTCTGGTACCCCTATAATTCTGATGTTGGTACGCTTGAAGTTGTCCCAGAGGTTCCTTACACTATCTTCATATTTTTGGAATCTCTTTTCTTTTTTCTTTTTCGGTTGGGTATTTTTTGTTTCTTTGTATTTCAAATCTTTGACTTGATTCTTGGGATCCTCTTGTCTGCTGCTGGATCTCTGCAAATTATTCTTTATTTCAGTCAGTGTATGCTTAATTTCTAGTTGGTCCTTTTTCATGTCCTCCATGGTCTCACTATACTTATTGAGGGATTCATTAAATTTATCGGCGGTTTCCATAAAATTCTTGAAAAACCTTATAAACGTGGCCTTGAACTCTATATCCAATCGTTTGCTTTCCTCCATTTCTGCCATTTGTGACCTGTTTCTTTGTCTCTGCATTTTAGCAGCTTCCCTGTGTTGATAGAGTGGCCCTGCGCACCAGGTGTCCTGTAGGGCCCAGTAGCTCAGCCTCCCCAGTTACCTGGGGTGGACACTCTTGGTGCACTCTTGGTGCCTTGGTTGTTGTAGGATCACTGGGAGGAATTGACCTCCAGGCCAATTGGCTGTGAGAATCAGCTGTGTCTAAAGTGGGAGAACTTCTGTGCTGAAGACACCCTTCTGGGGCAAAACTTGCTTCAGTGGGGCTTTGGTGCTCACTGAGTCTGCTCCCTGAGTGTGTCCCTTATGGATCTGAGGAGTTGCAATCTGGATGGTCCCCCTCTGACCACTGGGTACAGTGGCTCCTGGATCTAAGGAGGTGCTAATTCAGCCTCTGCCTGAGGCCACACAGCAGGAGCCACGAAGAGGCTCAGCTGTGAAGCAATGCAAGCCGCTGCGGGGCCTTGGGCCTTCTCTTGGAAGTTCCGGGTCTGCCTGGCTCGGCTGCAGTTAGGTACATTCACATGCAAAAGCCTCTGCCGCAGCCTGGGTGGGGCGGGGTCTCAGGGAATCAAAGGGCGGATCAAGGAGCTATGGCTGATTCTCCGCCCGGAGTCGCGGGTCTCAGTGACCCGCTAATTGCTGCAAGCACCTCTGAGGGAAAGCCGCCTTCAAGTTCGCCCGCTGCCGGACAGACCAGCTTCTCCCCGTATGAGTCCTGGGTCCCCAGAGACTTCCCGGAACCGGAGTTCAGAGCAGTCGGGAGCTTGTGATTCAAAAAGACAGCCGCGTCCTCAGGTGCCACCCCCTTTACTCGCGCGCGTGCGAGCCGGCCGTACCTCTGCACTTGTACCTCTGCACTTCACCTCTGCAGCGCCTCTGGCTCTCAGCGTGCTTTTCTTTCCTTCTAGTTGTAGAATTTACACTCAGCCAGCCTTCCTGTTGTTCTGGATGATGTTTGCTCTGTCCTTTGCGGTAATTTTCAATTGTTGTGTGAGGCGGCAATTTCCCAGTGTTTACCTATGCCGCCATCTTAGTTTCTCTCGTTATTTCATCCTTTCTTATGGCTGAGTAGTAAGTATTCCATGTGTATATATACCACACCTTCTTTATCCAGTCCTCTATCGTAGACACTTAGGTTGTTTCCATGTTTTGGCCACTGTGAATAATGCTGCAGTGAACATAAGGGTGCATATATCTGTGCGAATACATGATTTCGAGTTTTTCGGGCATATACCCAGGCGAGGGGATTGCTGGGTCATATGGTAGCTCTGTTCTTAATTTTTTTGAGTAATCGCCAGACTGCTTTCCATAGTGGTTGTACCAGTCTATATTCCCACCAGCAGTGAATGAGGGGTCTCTTTTTTCACAACCTCTCCAACACTCGTTATTGCTTGTCTTGTTGATAATGGCCACTCTAACAGGCACACCTGCATTGTTAATGAGGTGACTTTTACACAGCACTTAAGGATAGGCGCTGGTTGCCAGGGGAATCAACCATGTGATTGGAGAGTTGGAACTTTCAGTCCCACCCCCAACCTTTGAGGAGTGGGGGCGGGGGAGAGCTTAGAAATTGAGTTCAATCACATGTGCCTGATGAGTTAATCAATGGTACCTGTGTGATGAAGCCTTCATAAAAACCCAAGAGGACAGGATTCTGAGACCATCCAGGTTGGTGAATCAGAACAATTCCACCTGCACCATGCAGGGCCCAAACTCCCTGGGGACAGACGCTCCTTTGTTTGGGATCTCATCCTATGTATCTCCATCTGGCTGTTGACTCCTATCCTTTCATATCCTTGGTCAAAAACAAAAACAAAACAAAACTGTAATCTAGTGAATAACCGGGTTTCCTGAGCTCTGTGAGCCACTGTAGCAGATTCATTGAACTCAAGGAGGGGGTCATGGGAACTTCTGATGTATAGCCAGTGAAAAGGACAGCAACAACCTGGGCTTTTAATCGGCTTCTGAAATGGAGGATGGTTTTGTGGGACTGAGCCCTTAACCTGTAGCGTCTAATGCCATCTCAGGGTAGAGTCAGAATAAAATTAAAATGTAGGACACCACAGCTGGTGTTTGAGAATTGCTTGGTGCTGTGGGGAAAACCCCACACATATTGAATTGTAGTCAGAATCGAACTATACCTGGATCTTATGATCAAGTTATCCCCATTCTCTACTTGATTGTGCCCTCTGGATTGAATATAGAATATGAGTTTGTGCTACATGAACTACTGAAATGGAATCTAGATTGAAAAGGCTATGTTTTCCACAGATTCATGGTTGTCAGATCCTGGAAACAGTATACAAACACAGCTGTGGAGGTTTGCCTCCTGTTCGAAGTGCACTAGAAAAGTAAGTCATGGTTCAATTGGGGGTTGGGGGCAGAGGTGGGTGGTCAAGTGACTTGACTGCGTGGGTTTTATTTTCAGGTCATCTCAGGTTTCCCTCCGGGGAAAGGTATGACCAGGATAGAAAAGACCCATGAGCAGAGGAGCCCATGTAATCCTTTGGATGGCTCAGAAATTGCAAAAAGAGGATTATAAAGTGTTGAGTATCAAAGCTAGATGTCCTTGAGGCAACCCTTTTAATATTTGGATCTCATCATCCTGGGAGAATTTCCATTACTTGTGCGAGATAATGCCTAGCTGTGTCTAAACGTGTGTATTTTGAATAGCTGCTATTTTCACATCGAGGCCCTTAAAAATGTTTATACTTTGTAATCCCATAATGCCACTTTTAGGAATTTTATTCTAAGAAATGTATTCAAAAGGAAATAAACATATGCACGAGCATTATTCATTGCAATGTTGTATACTATATCAAGAAATTAAAAAATTAACAGCAGTAGAGGAAAGATAAAAATATATTCTCTTGATAGACTATAATGCCGTTAACACTATACATACTATAAAAACACGTAAAAATATATTTTTTTAAAATATATTTTATTGATTTTTCACAGAGAGGAAGGGAGAGGGATAGAGAGTTAGAAACATCGATGAGAGAGAAACATCAATCAGCTGCCTCTTGCATACCCCCGACTGGGGATGTGCCCGCAACCAAGGTACATGCCCTTGGCCGGAATCGAACCCGAGACCCTTCAGCCCTCAGGGCAACGCTCTACCCACTGAGCCAAACCCGTCAGGGCCGTAAAAATATTTTTTATAACACTAATTAAAAAGGATTCAGCCCTGACCAGTTTGGCTGAGTGGCTAGAGCGTCAGCCTGTGGACTAAAGAGTCCTAGGTTTGATTCCAGTCAAGGGCATGTACCTGGGTTGCGGGCACATCCCCAGTAGGGGGTGTGCAGGAGGCAGCTGATCGATGTTTCTCTCTCATCGATGTTTCTAACTCTCTATCCCTCTCCCTTCCTCTCTGTAAAAAAATCAATAAAACATATTTTTTTAAAAAGAATTCAAAAGTATGTCTTATGATTACAACTATATTAAGTGTATATGGTGTTTCATGAAAGACTGCTCATTTGACTCGTATCCTATTCCCCTCTTCTTCCTCATTTCTTAAAAAGAGGGTGTGGAAAAAAAGAGGGTGTGGCATTGATTGAAAAATTGAAAATCAATGATCTCTGAGGTGCCTCCCAACTCTTAACAATCTCCACTTTAACCACTACACAAGTAAGTCCTCAGATGAGCAGGAAAATTTCCAGAATATGTTTCTGGACTTCTCTATTACTGTGCCTTTTTTTCCGTAATAAAATAAGTTAATTTTGATTGTAGAAAATACAGACATGCAAAGAGAAGAAATAAAAATCACCTGTTTTCGCAGTCCCTTGAGACACCCAATTCAACTTTTGGTGTATATCCCCTCTAGTTTCTCTCTGTATAAACAGACTGTATAGTTTTATGCATTGAATATAAAATCTTATGTAGATAACTAGGGGCCCAGTGCATGAAATTCGTGCATGGGTAGGGGCCCTAGGCCTGGCCAACGATCAGGGCTGATCTGTGGGGCGATTGGGGGGGGGCCCCCACTGGCACCTGCCTTGACTGGCCTGGCACCGCCTGCTCGCCAGCTCCACTCCCTGCCACCGCTGCCAGTCACCTCCCTCTGCGGGGTGACCAGCAGGGCAGTTGGGGTGCCCCTATGGGCACCCATCTTGGCCAGCCTGGCACCGCCTACTCTCAGGCCCCGGCTTGGGCTGGGAGCAGCTCCTGTGTTGAGCATGTGCCCCCTGGTTGTCAGTGCACATCATAGCGACCAGTCATTCTACCAGTTATTCTGTCGTTCAGTCAATTTGCATATTAGGCTTTTATTATATAGGATATAATAAATTTATATATTTTCAGGAACCAAACTTTACAGATCACAGAGTGCAATGTGCAAAATTTAAATGCCTTTCCATTTAATTTTTTAAAGAGCTATTCCATTCAGTTAGCATACGACAAATAGCAGACTCAATCTCTTTTATTTTTTTAAAATATATTTTATTGATTTTTTACAGAGAGGAAAGGAGAGAGATAGAGAGTTAGAAACATCGATGAGAGAGAAACATCAATCAGCTGCCTCCTGCACACCCCCCACTGGGGATGTGCCCGCAGCCAAGGTACATGCTCTTGACCGGAATCGAACCTGGGACCTTTCAGTCCGCAGGCCGACGCTCTATCCACTGAGCCAAACCGGTCCTGGCTAGACTCAATCTCTTTTAGTTTCTTTTTCTTCCCCGATTATTTTGAAAATTTTCAAATCTACAAAAATGTTGAAAGAACTGTACAATAAACACCTATATACCTTTTAGTTTCACTGGTTAACATTTTGCCACATTTATTTTTTTCTTTCTCCCTCTATGTAAACTGTGAAATGTATATGTAAATTTATATATTTATATGTAAACACCCACATACATACCATAATTTTTTGCTGAGTGATTTGAAAGTGGTCACAAATATAACAACACTTAACCCCTTAATGTCAGCTTGTATCGTTTAAAAAAGGGGGGGGGGGCATTTTCTTATATAACCTCAATACCATATTATACTCAAGAACGGTAACATTGCCCTAGCCGGCTTGGCTCAGTGGATAGAGTGTCGGCCTGCGGACTGAAGGGTCCCAGGTTCGATTCCGGCCAGGGGCACATGCCTGGGTTGCGGGCTCGATCCCCAGTAAGGGGTGTGCAGGAGGCGGCCTATCAATGATTCTCTCTCATCCTTGGTGTTTCTATCTCTCTCCCTCTCCTTTCCTCTCTGAAATCAATAAAGAAATATGTATATATAAAAAATAACGGTAACATTAATTCAACAGTATGATATCCAAACTATATCTGAATTTCTTCAGTTCCCCTCCAAAAATTCTTTATAGCTGTTCTTTTGTGAATCCAGGATCCAACCAGTGTTCACATGTTGCATTTGGTTGTCATGTCTTTTTAGTCTCCTTTGCTTTTTTGCTTTTTCTTTTTTTTTTAATCTTTGATGACTGACATTTTAAGAGTTCTGACCAGTTGTCTTGAAGAATGTTCCACAATCTGGATTTTTCTGATCTTTCCTCATGTTTACATTTGGGTTAAAAAATTTTTTTGCAAGAATACTACATGGGTCATATTATTTCCTGTTGCATCATATCAGAAGGCACAGAAAATAAGTTTGCCCCATTACTGGTGTTGTAAAGTTTGATCACTTGGTTTAAGTGTTTTCCACCAGATCTCTCTGTTTTAGAGGGACATTTTCCCCTTTGTAATTAATATTTTGTCTGGTGGTGATCCTTTGAGACCATGTAAATATCCCATTCCCCAACAACCTTTCTGCATTTTGTTGGATCATACTTGTTCAGGTATACCTGCCTGTTATGTATTGAATCTACTCTCCCTATGTGATTCCAACAAAAAATAAAACAAATTTAATACTAGGTTAGCCAAAGAGAGACTCCTGTAAGTCCACTTACTTTTAACAGTAATATCAGTGTTAAAACTTAATTTATACAAAAGGAGGAAAGAAAATGTGTTTCTCCTAAAAGACTATCAGAGCAGTCACTGAACATTTCAGATTTCAGTATGTAGGTCACAAGTTTGGAAATTTAACCAGTCCAGCCACAAACATTTAAATTAAAAATACCACAATTATTTTTAGCTTACTTGGTCATTTCCCTATGACTCATCCACCTCTCAGGCCTCTGTTTATCCTGTAGCAGTTTAAAGCATCCCCTCTGTGCCCCTGTGGGCTTAGTGTTCTTTAAGTGGACTTCTAAGGGTCTTGCTTTTCTCCCAACTCAGAATCCTGGCCGTGTGTCATGGGGTCATGTATAAGCAGCTCTCAGCCTGGATGCTACATGGACTCCTCTTGGACCAGCATGAAGAGTTCTTTATCAAACAGGGTCCATCTTCTGGTAATGTCACTGCCCAGCCAGAAGAGGATGAGGAGGATCTGGGTATTGGGGGACTGACAGGAAAACAACTGAGAGAACTCCAGGACTTGGTGAGAACATAGCAAGAAGCCCAGCATACTCCTGCCAGGAATCAGAAAAGACTACAGCTAAATGACCTTTTGGTGACCCTGCTCCAAGTTCATCATAGCCTGGGCACCTTCCATAAATTCTTTAGATATAAATACTTGTCTTTATCTTTTTTTTAATACTTAAATGTAATACCTAACTTATTGTGAGACTACAAGACAGGAACTAATTTGTGAGATTCCTTTTGTTTCCCCTTTTCCTAGTATATGCTTTTAAAAGGTTAATAATAAGTCTTGTCTCCTAAAGTAGTTTGTAGCTTCCCTGTAGTATTTATTTATAAATATATTTTTATTGATTTCAGAGAGAGGGAGAGAGATAGAAACATCAATGATGAGAGAGAATCATTGACCAGCTGCCTCCTGCATGCCCCCTACTGGGGATCAAGCCAGCAACCTGGGCATGTGCCCTGACCAGGAATTGAACCGTTATCCCCTGGTTCATAGGGCGACACTCAACCACTGAGCCACACTGGCTGGGCTACCCTGTAGTATTTAAATGCAGTTTGGAGTTTTGATTAAACTCTCCAAAGTCCTCTCTTGTCCTTATTCATCCATCCATTCATTTATCCTGTTACAACATTTAATTAAATGGGTGTTATGTGCCAGGCACTGTTCTGGGTGCCACAACTACGTAGACAAATAATAGGTAGTAGTCCATGTCCTTAAAGAGCTTATAGTTTAGTGGAAGATATAAGTAAACAGTAACATTACAGTGTACTAAGTATTCTGGAAAGAGTAAGTATGGGTATCAGAACATGGTATTAAAGTAACTAGAGAAGTCTTTTCAGTGAAATATATGGGTAAATTGCAAAGAGTTTGAGAGGAGAGGTCAAGAAACGTTCCAGGCATGCGTGTAAATATTCTAGGGAAGGATGTGTGTAAAGTACAGAGCCCATGAAGGACATGGCTCATTTGGGGAACCATTAGTAATTCAATTGAAATGGTCAAGTAAAGACTGTAGTATCTTGTAAGGACAGTGAGGGGATGGGGGAAGTGGCAATCTGTGAAGCTGTTGAGGTAAGCAGAGGTAAAATCATGAGAGCCCTTGTAAACAGTGGGAAGGAATTTGAACTTGAACCTGAAAAGAGCTGGGAGCCAGTGAAGAATTTTAGGCAATATATTAGCACCATTGGACTTTATGATAGATCACTCTGGATACTGTGTGGGCATTCTTTGTGGGGTTTTTTTTTAATCAAGATTCACTGTTGGTACATTAGAAGAATGTGGGTGAAAATAACAATGGCTAAACCAAGGGTATTAACAGTAAATATGGAGAAAAATAAAGAGGCTTGAGAGAGATTTAAGAAGTGGAATAAGTAGGCCTTAGTAATCACTAATTGATTGGATATGGACCCAGAGGAAAGAATCAAGGATGATACCTAAGTATCTGCTTTCAGCAGCTAGGTGAGTAGTGATAAGCAATGTATATTGCTAGTATTGGAGGAAAGAATATGTATCTAATTTTGGACATGTTGAGTTTGAGGTACTTGTAGGAAATGTCCAGTGGGCTGAGGCTGGTGCTCATGAGAGCAATCTAGCTTACAGGTGACAATTTAGGCATCATCAGCTTTAGAAATATTTAATCTGGGTCAACGTGGGTCTTCAGGAGGTTCTGTGAAATGTATGTCTGTATATTTGTCTGGAAACTTTTATAATTGTAGAGAGTTCTGTGATGTAAAAACTTAAAATACCTGTTATGGTGAAAAATTCAGCCATAGAAGATGTGATGGTTGATAAAAAGGATGGGGAGAGTGAAAGGAAAAGGAATAGTGCCAGGAGGAACACCAGCACGAAGCCCAAAACAGTGAGGGCAAATAGCAGAGATCAAAGTCAGGACAGTTGAGTCCCTTGGAACTAGATAAGGGTCAAATCTAAAGCAAGGCAGGGAATGGGGGGTGCTGAGTGATTGGGGGGGTGGGTATCTGGGCCTTTCTGGGCTGTGTCAGTGGTTCTCCAGCTTCACTGTGCACCGGAGTCACCTGGAGAGCTTGTTAAAACAGATTGCTGGACCTCGTTGCCCAAGTTTCCTGTAGATCTGGGAAGGGGCTTGAAAATTTGCATTTCTTATAAGCCTAACCAATGGACACAGGCACCAGGGGGTGAGGGCATGAGTGGGGGTGGTGAGGGGAGAGATGGGGGGATAAGGACACATATGTAATACCTTAATTAATAAAGAAAAAAATTTTTTTGAGAAAAAAGATTTGCATTTCTAACAAGCTCCCGTGTGAAGCTGACGCTGCTGGTCCAGGAGCCACACTTTGAGAACCACGTGGCTAAATGACTTGGGGCTGGAGTAAAGAGCTGGGCAGAGCAGGCATGTACACAAGATAATAAAATCATAGACGTGTAGACTTGGGAAAAGATCAAGTATTCCACGGTACAAGTAGAGAAACTGAGTTCCAGATCTGCACAAGTAGTAAAGGCGGAGTGAGGACAGAAATCCTAATATTAAAAAAACACTGGTCCTGCCAGTGTGGCTCAGTGGTTGAGTGTTGACCCCTGAACCAGGAGGTCACAGATCCCAGGTCAGGGCTCATGCCCAGGGTGTGGGCTAGTTCCCAGTAGGAGGCGTGCAAGAGGCAGCCGGTCAGTGATTCTCTCTCATCATTGATGTTTCTATTTCTCCCTCTCCCTTCCTCTCTCTAAAATCAATAAAAAACATATTACAAACAACAACAAAACACTGTTATTTCCACCATCTCCTGTGCTGCCTGAAAATGGAGTACATCTAACACTAGATGCAACTTCAGATTTAAAGTCCCTGCTCTATTTACAGAAAATACATATCACGTGTTGGGATGTTTTCTTGTTTTCCCTTTCTTCACACATCATCTCTGATATGGGTTACTTCCCTGGCCAGCGCCTGATAGAGGAAGAGAACATGCTGGCACCATCTCTAAAGCAGTTTTCCCTGCGCGTGGAGATTCTGCCATCCTACATCCCAGTGAGGGTTGCTGAAAAAATCCTGTTTGTTGGAGAGTCTGTCCAGATGTTTGAGAATCAAAATGTCAGCCTGACTAGAAAAGGTAAGAATATCCTTGCACAACGTACCCCATCCTCCAAGGCCCTTCTGGATAGCGCGCGAACCCAAGTACCCCTGGTCCTAGTGAGGGCGAGTAATGTTTATGCACTGACATTTCAGCACAACCATGACGTGCTTGCTCGCCGGCAGGATGGGGGCCCTGGCCGTCCTGGTTGTGCCCCACCTCCTGTGACGGTGCCTTCCCATTTTGCAGGATCCATTTTGAAAAACCAGGAGGACACCTTTGCTGCCGAGCTGCATCGCCTCAAGCAGCAGCCGCTCTTCAGCCTGGTGGACTTTGAGCAGGTGGTGGACCGTATTCGGAGCACTGTGGCTGAGGTTTGTCTCTCATCGTCTGTTTTCTTAGGAAGAAAGTGGATTAATTTCCCCAGGAATTGAATACTTGACTTTTGCTTCTTCTTAATGTCGTAAGAACTTAGCTTGGAGGGAATTGTTTGACAGAGTTGAAGGGCAAGAAGTAGGAAATGGAAAGATTCTCTCTGTTCTTAATAGTAGAGGGGGAGCTGCCTTAGCCTCTCGCCCCTGGCAGGAGTATACGAGTTAGTTAACTAGCTCGTTGAATAAAGGGCGGTTTCATTTCACATCGTCAGCATTTTGAATCTGTCTGTATACAGTAGTTGGCAATAACTCCAAGGAACCAATGGATTCTGAGTAAATGTAGTGCCTTACTTATGTTTTATAATGGCTTTACTACTTATTCTGCCATTTGTGGATATGATACTCCTGAGGAAGACAGAACAGGTATAATTTTCCCATTCCTGTAAATGAAAACAACACTCAGGAAGCTAACTTGCCTGGTGTTGCACAGTAAGTAACAAAGGTGAGGTCCAACCCATACCTAGTTCATTGTTCATATGTGAATCGTGCTTCATCCATGAACTTAAATTATGACCAATACTTTTTCAAATGGGCATATGTTCTGTCCTTATGACACAGTTTGGCTCACAGGTGTGTGATAATGTGAAATGAAATCTTCAGTTAGTCAACTGGGTTGTTGATTGTGTTAGTGGTTTTCAACTCTGGCTGTGCGTAGAATCCCAGTGGAGATAATAAAGCTTACTTGCACCATGTCCTTTCCTCAGAGCTTCTGATTTGTAAGTCAGGAGGGCATAGGTACTTGTACTTATACCAACCAACCAATAAACAACCCCCTGCAGGTTATTTTGAAGCATAGCCAATGCACTAGGGCAGGGGTGGGCAACCCCTGGCACGCGTGCCAAACATGGCACGCCAGTAACTTTTGCTGGCACACAAAACCCTCTCTTATAATCTTCCATTTACAATTTTTTTCTTAATATCGACTTTTTTATTTTTTCAGGTAAATTCAGTGTAGGTGCATCTTAGATAAATAAATACTTTTACATAACAAGTTATCTTAAAGACCATAGACATGGATTGACGAGAGAGGGGGAGAGCAATTACATCTATGCCTCTGCCTTAACGCTCCCTGCTTTCCTAGATCCGACCAGTGTTTTGGTTTCATCCACATACGCTTGTGAATCTTTGTTCTCAGTGATGAATTTTGTTAAGTCTCCTAATAGGAGTAGCCTGACTGATGAAAGTAGTAGCTCGTGCATATCTCTGAAGGTCACGAAATAGAAACTTGATGTAAAATCTCTGTCATCAGTGATGCAGCAGCAAAAGTCCCACTGATAATATCAAACGGAGTCATAAAGTTTTCTGTTGGACTATCAGTGTACATGTATACATTAAAAAATAAATGTATTTTTCATCATCATATACTGTGTTTTTGTCGCTTGAATGAATTTTATTATTTCTTCAAGGTTCTTTCTTTTTATTTTTTTTTATTCTTTATTCATTGCACAAACCAGATTCTTCTCCAGTCTCTCCTCTAAATTGGACTTTACCCTACGTCCCTAATTTCTGTTTAGTGTTTTTATGAAAGGCTTTTCTCATTAAGACTTTACTGATGTAGGAGAATCACCACTCCCATCACTCCATGTATCTGGGGCTGCTCCTTTTTTGGATACCAGCTCTGCCCTTGGCCCTCCTCACTCTTGTGGTCCCAGTGATCCACACCCTGCTGCCTACTCCTCATTCCTTGTCTTTTTGTACCTACTGCTTCCCCTCAAGGTTCTTGACATACGTACACCTTAAGAGATACCAAGTAGGCGTAACATGTTCTCAAAAAACTAGGGTTGGCACGCAGAAGAATTTTGAGTCAGAGATTTTGCTGGTTTTGGCACGCACTCACAAAAAGGTTGCCCACCCCTGCACTAGAGTCAGTGTCCAGAACCTGAGGAAGCTTAGAATTAGGTGCCCTCACATTGGAAGCCCAGTAATCTGTCACAAATTGTCATTATCTTTTTTGGTCACTGCCTCAAAAATTTCTAGGTGTTGGAGACAGAGTTGTGTTATAAACAGAATATTAGACATTAAAATGGCCTGTAGCTTTGTAGTACAGTTTGAAATTAGGAAGTGTGATATCTCCAGTTTTGTATTTCAGGATCGTTTTGGCTATTTGGGACCTTTTTGTGGTTCCATACAAACTTTATAATTGTGTTTTCTATTTCTGTGAAGAAATATGATGGAATTTTGATGTATGGAATCTATAGATGACTTTGGGTAATATGGACATTTTATTTTAATTCTTTTTAATCCTCACCCAAGGATATGGAGAGAGAAGGGAGGGCCGTTGATGTGAGAGAGAAACATTGATCGGTTGTCTCCGATATACACCCCACCTAAGGATTGAACCCACAACCCAGGTATGTACCCTGACCTGGAATCAAACTGGCAACCTTTTGGTGCACAGGACAACGCTCAACCAACTGAGCCACACCAGCTGGGTAGGGTAGTATGGACATTTTAACTATTAATTCTTCTGATCCACAAACATGGAATGTCTTTCAGTTTGTGCAGTCTTTGATTTCTTTCAGCAAAGTCTTGTGGTTTTTGTTGTATGTATCTTTCACTTCCTTGGTTAAGTTTATTATTTAACTCAGCATAATTGAGATTAATCCATGTTGCATGTATCAGTAGTTTACCCTTTCTATTGCTAAATCAATGTGTTTTCTCTTCCTCTGCTGATAAATATTTAGGTTTTTCCCGCATTGTAGTTTTAATTTGCATTCCCCTAATGACATTAACATTTTTATATGCTTATTTACCATCCATATATCTCCTTTGGTGAAGTGTCAGTTCAAATCTTTTGTCCATTTTTATTGTTTTTATTTTGTTTTTTTACTATTTGAGTTTCAAGAATTCTTTATTCTAGATATAAGTCCTTTGATATGTGACTTATAAATATTTTCTCCCAATCTATAACTTGTCTTTTCATTCCCTTAACACTGTCTTTCAAATAGCAGAAATTAATTTTGACTAAATCCAGTTTACCAATTTTTATTCTTTTATGGATCATGCTTTTGGCATTGTGCCTAAGAAATCTTTGCTTAACTAACCAAGGTCATAAAAATTTTCTCCTGTTTTCTTCTAGAAATTTATGGTTTTCAGTTTTACTATTAGGTTTGTGATCATTTTGAGTTAATTTTTCTATGTTGTACAAGGTATGAATCAACTTTTTAAAAATTTTAGTATCTTTTATTTATTCATAAGAAAACAATTCACATAGCTCAAAAATAAAAATACAGGAGGAAAAATGCTTTGACTCCATGCCCAGTTCCCATTTTCCTTAACCCAACATTATAAATTTTCTTTCTTCTGTATAGATATATATTTGTGGCATATATAAGGATTACGAATATGTGTTTTCCCCTTTGTTACACAAAAGATAGTTCACTGTATACAGTATTATACAACTTGGTTTTCTGTGCTTAACAATGTCTTGGTAATATTTACACATTTCCCTAGAGAAGGTCCTGGTTATGTTTTACAACTACACAGTATTCCACTATATGGATTGAATCAACTTTTAATTTTTTACATGTGGATATCCAATTGTTCTAGCAACTTGGTTGTTTGCTGTAGAGTTTTGGTACATACCCTTTCTAAGAATGTTTCCTTTTGTTTCTTGTTTGTTTTTCTAAAATCATGAAAGGATATTGACTTTTATCAAATGCTTTTTCTGCATCTATTGAAGTGATCATATGGTTTTTATTTTTTATATTTAATTTATTAATTACATTCATATTTAAATGTTTAATTTTTTATTGAATAAAATTTACATGACACCATTTGAGCCATTTAAAGGTAGTATAAAATTCATTGGTTTTTAGTGTATTCACTATGTTGTATAATCATCACTACTATTTAATTTCAGAATATTTCCACCTCATATATATTATTTTGCTGTTAAACTACCCTTTCATTCCTGGATTTAACCTGATTTGGTAGTGGTTTATATTTTTTTCTCAACGCTGCTGGATTTGTATAAAACTATGTTTTATGTTAATTTTCATTGTAATGAAATGTTGTCCCTGTTTTGTTGGTTCTTTTCACAGCATCTCTGGAAGCTGATGGTAGAAGAGTCAGATTTACTGGGTCAGCTGAAGGTAATAGCTTAGCTGTCCTATTCACTCTTAAAATGATGCTGGTGAGCAGTGACTTCATTTTCCAGCCTCTGCTGAGAGCGCTGATTGCCTGTACCCAGATTTCTAGATGACCTGACATGTCCTCGGTCAAGTGGGCCACCTCCACCTGTTACTACAAATGAACTATAGTACAAAACTTTAGGTGTTAAGTTTCTCCTGGCGTAACATAACTGTGTTTTTACTGAATGATACCAAAGACACACCAGACATTTTGCCCTGAAGGATTGCTAAATATGCCCCTTTAAAATGCCAGAAGCCTATGTCCTTTTGTACAGTAACTGAAACTGATGAACTTTGGAAATTATGTGTGTGTAATTCCAGTACGACAGTGAGGAGCTCAGGGCCCTGCTGGATTACCAAATTATAAATTGAAATTCTTTTTTGCAGATCATTAAAGACTTCTACCTTCTTGGACGTGGAGAACTGTTTCAGGCCTTCATTGACACAGCTCAACACATGTTAAAAACACCACCCACTGCAGTCACGGAACATGGTAATTGCCCTGGGGGCCTGAGGATAACCAGCTGACTGAAGTTGTAGGGTTTCTTGGCTGCTGTCGAACCATTTCGGCTGCTCCTCATAAGCGCAGACTGGCTAGTTACAGAGATGCAAGGCCTTCCAGGCAGGCTTCCCACCTGGTCACGGGGAGCAGCCTCTTGGCTTGTGACCGTTTCTGGAAGAGTCGGTTCAGGCCTTCAAACCATCAGATTATAGCCTTATATCCCTATGGGACACGTTGGGACTTATTGCCACCTACTATACTAGAATTCTTTAGGTTGTATTGATGGGAACCTAACCTGAACTAACTTAGGTAGAAAAGGAGAATACATTTGCTATTGTATCTGTAACTCCAGGGGAGTAGGGTATAGCTGGGCCTCAGAACAACTGATGTTAGCGGCTTGAATTCTGCTAAGATCCTCTCTGTCTTACCATGTCTTCCCTATGCCCCTTGTACACTCCTTGATGGCCTTACATTTCCATCTGGAAACGTGGCCACTAGCAGATCCTAGGAGCATGCCTCACAATGTCTACCAAATCTGATCTCTTTGGTAGCAAAATAAAAAATTCCGAGGAAATTTTTTGATGAGCCCAGCCCAGATCATATACCTATCCCTGGAACAGAGAGGTCAGACATCAAGGTGTGCCTTCCTCAGTAAAGTGTTTATCTTTGACCAACGGGGGTGATCACTATTCCCATTCAGATTACGTGAGGGAAGTTGGGTGAGGACCAGAGTAAAAAAGAAAATGAGGGGGGGAGGGGACAGAGTTACTGTTCTCTAGCTCTATAAAGCAATAGGTGTCCACCGCACTTACAGGGGACTTTTCTGGTTGCAAATATCAGAAAACCCGATTCAAACTCACTTAAAGAGGGGAAAATCATTTATTGATTCTTATGACTGAAAAGGTCAGAAGTAAGATGGCTTTAGGCAGAGTTTGAGCTAATGGCTCATATGACACTTTCAGGACTTGGTATCATTCCATCTTTATCTCTGCGTTTCTTCTCAGACAGGCCTGTTCTGTATGGTGGCAGGATGGCCTCCAGTGAACACACACACACACACACACAGCTGTACTCACTCAGCATCTGAAAGCCTCTTAATTGGCCTGGCTTGGGTCATGTTCAGACCCCTAAACAAAATAGTATATCAAGGTAGAGTATCATATTCCATTTGATCATGCTGGAGTCCCCTGCCGATCCCTAGGATCAGGTATTGTCAACCCACTGGAACTGCCTGGATTACCCTGGGCAGGGTGATTCTCCAAGGAAAATCAGAATGCTGTTACCAGCAAGAGGAGGAGGAACGCATGCTAGTCAGGCAAAAGCAACCAATGTCTGCTGCGTCCTGTTTGTTTTCGGCAGCTGGGGGAGGTGGGAAGCAGGAGTCTGGGTTTGTTACGTAGCCAAGCACCCGTGTCAGCCCATGTTCTTTCTTGCAGACGTGAACGTGGCCTTCCAGCAGTCGGCACACAAGGTGTTGCTAGACGATGACAACCTCCTCCCTCTGCTGCACTTGACGATTGAGTACCATGGGAAGGAGCACAAAGGTTGGCCATCCTGTTGTACATCTTTCTGTTCCTGCTGCTCATCATCTGTTCTGCTACCTCTGCTTCCACCTACCTCCACAGAAGCCACAGCATTTTGAACCTTAGAAACCAGCTAGTTCACATTTTATAAAAACCTCCTAAGAGAACTTCACACGAACAGTTCCTTGCCTCTGCAAGTCCCCTTTGTGCTTCTGACACTGGGCTGAGGGAGCACTCATTTCCTGAATGCTACTCGCCGTTGCTGCTCTAGTTCTAGATTAAAGTCTAATCTAGACATCCTTCCTCCTCTTCTTGACAGATGCTGCTCAGGCCAGGGACGGGCCTCCCCGGGAAACCTCTCCTCGGGAAGCCCCTGCATCGGGCTGGGCAGCCCTAGGTCTTTCCTACAAAGTGCAATGGCCACTGCACATTCTCTTCACGCCTGCTGTCCTGGAAAAGTGAGTATTTACACGTTTCTCCCAGGTAGTTAAGACCCACCTTACTTCCAAGGGAAGGAAGCAGGAATAGAATTGGTGGGAGAACAGTAGCCACCCTTTAAATCAGAGGTTTCAACTCAGATGCCTTGAGGGGCTGCACAGAAAACAAGTGAAGCCACTGACCTGAGAAGTGGGGAGTGGTGGGGACTGGAATGAGAGGGAGGGTCAAACCCTTAAAACTATGAAAGGCTCATGTGCGTTTTTAGTGCCAAAACAAGCAGTTTGACCTCTGGGACACGCAGTCCCTGCCCCACATGGGCCTGGCCCTGGGTAATCCCTCAGGCTGACCCAGTTCCTCCCTGACTTCTGTGACTATTTATTTACTGGGAAGACTTTCTAAGCTTGAGCGTTTGCTGTGGACTTTAGCCACTGGAGAAAATCACCTCCTTATCCCCAGGGAGAGGCAGTGGGGGCAGCCCAGCCCACGGGGTGGAATGAAGGGGCGTCACTCCAGGTGGGAAGACTCTTGGATCCGCCTGGTCTTTACCCTGAGAGCCTGCCAAGTGCTGTTGCTTGGCTCTGTCAGGACCTAACGTCCGTGTACCAGAGGGAGACTAGAGCTTTAGAGCAGTGGTTCTGAACCTTCTGGCCCTTTAAATACAGTGCCTCATGTTGTGACCCAACCATAAAATTATTTTCGTTGCTACTTCATAACTGTAATGTTGCTACTATTATGAATCTTAATGTAAATATCTGATATGCAGGATGGTCTTAGGCGACCCCTGTGAAAGTGTCGTTCAACTGCCAAAGGGGTCGCGACCCACAGGTTGAGAACCGCTGCCTAGAGAAAGGAAGCAGGAGAAGCATATTTGACTGGTGATGGCCTCTGAAATCCATCCCCAAGCCGTTTCAGGAACGTCCCAAATCCTGTGACAGGTTCTGCCGCTGGCCCCTGGCCTGTCTGGAGGATGGACGTGGTCATGCTCAGGCTAGGGCAATGGAGACAAGGGAAACAAATGAACAGCAGGGCCTCTCTTATTCCTCCCTCTTCCTGTTCACAACCCCCTTTACTTTTGGGTAGAGAAGCTTAGAGTGAGAGATTAGACATAAACTGGAAAAGATAAGGCTTGTTCGGGGCGGGGGGGGGGGGTATTCTGTGGCAGGTTCAGAGCCCACAGCCCCATGGTCCACTCACCTCCTCACTTGATATGCCCTTAAAGAAATCAAACTCAGAGGTATTTCTAAACTTCTTAGTATGAAAATCTCCTATGGACTATAGTGAACTCCCATGTACACATATCCAGCTTCAGTAACCATCAACATTATGGGACTTATTTTGTGTGTGTGTTTTTTGCTGGAGTCTATAAAGCAATCCCAGACATGTCATTCACTGTCATTATGCAATTCAAAAGATGTTTATAAGCACAACCACAATGCCATTATCATGCCCAATAAAATTCTCTCTTGTCTGATAGCCAGTCCACATTGAAATTACCCCAATTATCTAAAAAATGTTTTCTATGGTTTACTCAAATCAGAATCCAAACAAGGTGAACTATTTTCAATATGTTGTTCCACTAGAAATAGGTAATTTTTAAAAAACCAAATGGAATTGGATTGTCTTCGCATGCCTACCTAGAATAGGTAAATATCTGCAGTTCCACCAGGAATCAGCTGCTCATCCCATGTGTCTTCTCCGTACAGGGTTCAGCAATAGGCAGTTAGCCCCTGAGCTTGCTGCAGGGGATCTCAGTGAGGGGAGCCCTCAACTTTATCTTCTCTTTGGGCTTCAGGGACAGAGAATCATATTAACCAAAATCCTTGGATTCTAACATACTCGTCTTATGGGTCCTTGAAAGACCCTCTTTTCTTCTTTCTTCTACACTCTCTTACACACACTCTCACACATTTACACACACTCTCACACACTCACTCTCTCACACACACACACACTCTCACACACACATACTCTCACACACACACACACATGCGCATCCACTTCCCAGCACAATAACTAGAACACTGACAATAATTTCCATCTACCTATGTGGTCCTTCCCAGTCCTGCCTCTTGCCTCCCGCATCCCAAAGCAACCACTATCCTAAATTCCATGTTTTCTATCACATATCTATGTTTAGTTTTATAACATCTAAATATATTCCCCCAGAGTATATACTTTTTCCTATGTAGTTGTTTTAAACACTATAAAAAAGAGTATAAGACTATATTATGTAATCTTTTGAGATTTACCTTCTTATTCAAAATGATTGTATTACTGGGAGTTGTTTTGTTGTGTTGTACAGCTGAAGTTCACTTTAAGGCTATGTAACAGTCCATCAAATAATTTTATTTGTCCCCATCTCTAGGCATTCTTATTTCCTTCTTGCCTTTTTGGGGAGGGCAGGTGGCACAGAGTGCTGGGGTCTGTCGAGGGGTGGGGCGGGGAGTGAAGTTTTTATCTTGCATAGCCTGATGTTTCTGTCCCAGGTACAACGTAGTTTTCAAGTACTTACTGAGTGTGCGCCGGGTACAAGCTGAACTGCAGCACTGCTGGGCCCTGCAGATGCAGCGCAAGCACCTCAAATCCAACCAGACCGACGCAGTCAAGTGGCGCCTGAGAAATCACATGGCCTTCCTGGTGGATAATCTTCAGTATTACCTCCAGGTCTGTGCTGACGGAGGAGGAGAGGAACGGGTACAAAGAGAAGTCCGGGGCGTTGGCAGGAGTTTGGTGAAACACTGGGATTTGAGAAAATTCACAACTTTATCAATAGGCTTGTTTCTTGAGGGCGTTTTTGAGGAAAGTGAAAATAAATGAAGGAAAAAGAGGGGTTAGGGTCCTTATCAACAGTGCAATATTTATTGTTGACCTGGCCCTATTTTTAGTTTGCTGTAACTTCTGGAATCCTGTAGGACATAACCAAGTCAGTCAGTGGAGGGGGTGTGGCAGGAGGGGATTGGGCTGGGGCAGGCGGTCGGGTGGGGAATCTGCCAAGACCGGAGGCTGAAGAATTAGGCAGATAACTTTCTACAAGGTTGGGTCTCTCAGGGTGTATTTGGTCAGCCTTAAAGTGGCTTCAATAGGAGAAAGATGGGGGCAGGGAGCTTCTGTGTCTTCCTGTCAGACATTACTGTCCTTGAGTGCTCAGAATATGCAAGCTGCTATAATTATTTGTGTAACTGTCTACCAGGTAGATGTGCTGGAGTCTCAGTTCTCACAGCTGCTTCATCAAATCAACTCTACCCGAGATTTTGAAAGCATCCGATTGGCTCACGACCACTTCCTGAGCAATTTGCTGGCTCAGTCCTTTATCTTGTTGAAACCTGTAAGTAGGACTGATTGGTTTTCTAGTGTGAATGTTTCCTTAGCCACTTTGAGTTGCCAGGATATGGAACTATCATTAAGTAATTGTTTACCCTCCATTTTTAACAACTTATAAAGCAAAATGAAAGGGAATGTTAAAAGGGAACTTAAATGTCTTTGCATCTCTTAAATATATCATAGGATGTGGTAAGCAGCTATATATAGATGACAAAATATGGGTTTAACCCTCAGAAGGAAGGATTTCAAGAAATTTAAAAAACCTTTCTGACACCGCAGAAAGACCAACAAAAAGCATATAGAATTTACTTTTCTAGTATTGACTTCTTTTTAGCAAGAGGGGGGAAGGAGGAGAGAGAGAGGTGAACATTGATTTGTTGTCCCACTTATTTGTGCATTCACTGGCTGATTCTTGTATGTGCCTTGACCAGGGATTGAACCTGCAACCTTGGTATGTCAGGACGATGCTCTAACCAACTGAGCCACTGGGCCAAGTCTAGAAATCTTTGGATAAGGATCAATCAGTGTTTGAAAGTTGTTTTCACAGACAACTGGAGTAGAGAGTGTCTCCCTCTCCATGTATATGTGTGTATATATGTACACACACATATGTATGTATGTATGTATGTCTCCTTCAGGGAAGTTATTCTCAACTTTGGATCCACATGGGAATCTGGGAACTTTAAAAAACGAGGCCCAGAGCACTTAAATTAGAGTCCCTGGAGTGGGACCCATGTACCAGTATTTATTTTTAAAGTATTTTTTTCTTGAATTCAGGGAGGAAGGGAGAGATAGATAGAAACATCAATGATGAGAGAGAATCACTGATGGGCTGCTTCCTGCAGGCCACCCCTCTCACACGGAGGCTTGAGTCCACAACCAGGGCATGTGCCCTGACCGGGAATCAAAGTGTGATCTCCTGGTTCATAGGTCGACGCTCAACCACTGAGCCACGCCGGACAGGTGGTACAAATATTTTTTAAAGCTCACAAGCTGATTCTAATTCCAGAATTAAAAAAAAAAAGATTGAAATGACCTTTTGTAGGTTATACTGTAATGGTTACCCTTTATCTCTGATGTGAGCTGTGCCACACCACAAGCACTGCAGACTCCTCTTTTGTCCTGGTTTGGGCTGTTCATGTTGCTGCACTAAGGGAGAGTGAGTCATATAAATACACTCCAAAGGGTTCTGTGAATTGAAAGCCACCGAGAACCACTGTGACAGGTATGCTGTCTTCGATGGCTTGAGTGCCTCCTTGGGGAAAAGCAGACTCTCAGAGCAGGTAGTCATCACTAAATATTTATTGAGTGCTTACTGTATGCAAGGCACTAGGGATACAAAGAGGTATAAGTCATGGCTCTGCCCTTAAGGAGCTCACAATCTAGTTGGAGAAACAGGACATACACACACAGATCAGCAACAACATAGACGGGCTGAACAAACACGCACCGAATAGTACAGGTAATATAGAGGAGAGAGAATTAGGGGGTCACTAAAGGCTACAGTAGGAAGGAAGCGCTCCCCTGAGGAGCAGGGCCTGGTATTAGGAGGAGAGTGTCCCAGGCACAGGGAGCAACACTGAAAGCCAAGCTCAAGGCAGGAGCAGGCGCGGTGGGTCCATGAAACGGTGACTGGTTTAATTGGCTAGTGTGGAGGTTTTGTGCAGGGGCGACTAAGAGCAATAGCATCTTTGCCAGGAAGGGGTTTGTTTTACACGTGTTGCGTTTGGAGGAGTTGGCAGGACTTGCACATGACATTCTCACTCCTAAGGTCAGATGTGGGAGCATGAGAATACGTTAGTTCTTAGATTTTCCAAAATGTTTAATGTCACAGATCTCCTTTTTCCTAATGCCAACCTTGTTTCCTGTATAGGTGTTTCACTGCCTGAATGAAATTCTAGATCTCTGCCATAGCTTCTGCTCGCTGGTCAGTCAGAACCTGGGCCCCCTGGATGAACGTGGGGTCGCCCAGCTACGCATCCTGGTGAAAGTGAGTGGCCTGGCCAGTGGCAGTGGGCAGCCCTGTCCAAAGGATAGAGATGGCTTTGCCAATGGGAACCATATCTTTCCCTTTGAGGCAATAAAGCATTCCCCATACATACACACAGAAATAAATGACAAGATACAAATTTAAAACGTTACTGGTTGATTTTGAAGCAGATAATTTTGTGCTGCCTCAGCATTCAAAAATAGGTCAGCCCTGGATAGTTTATTCAGCCCACCAATATGCATCAGCTTTGCTCTCACTTTCTCATGGCCAGGCTCCTTCCTTCCTTCAACCGACTCTCTATCTCACGGAGATTATAATGATCTCCTGTAACAAAACGCACAGGCTCTCCACAGCCCCAGTACATGACAGAACATATTAATTTGAAGCTGGCTACTAAGTTCCTACTGAGGATGAGGGGACTTCCATAGGAAGTCCGAGTTCTGTGGACTCAGCACTACGAAGGCATTTCAGGAGCTAAGAGCAAGGGGCATGTGGGAAGGCCAGGTGGTGCCATAGAATTCTGAGCAAGGCTTTCCCCAAGGAACAGCCCGTCCCCTCTCCACATGGATAGCTGGTGAGTCAAGAGGAATGGCAACTTGAGTCCTTCTCTCTGCAGGGCTTTAGCCGTCAGTCTTCACTCCTGTTCAAGATTCTCTCCAGTGTCCGTAATCATCAAATCAACTCGGATTTGGCTCAACTACTGTTACGACTAGATTATAACAAATACTACACCCAGGCTGGTGGAACTCTGGGCAGGTAGGAACAACCCCTGGGGAACTCAGTGGACTATGTATGTAGCTTTTATAAGACCAGTTGTAGAATTCCAAAGCTGGAAGCAGACTTTAGCCATTACCTAACCAGGGATGGGGACGTCTGGCCCGTGGGCCATATAAGGCCCACAAAACCATTTGGTCTGGCCCTGCCAAGGCATTAGACGTGAGATAAATGTTTGACCAAATATAGCAGGCTAATTTTTAAGCTGATAATTTTGTTTGGCTTGCAAGTAATATAAATATCCAAATGGCCCTTGGCAGAAAAAAGGCTCCCCACCCCTGATTCTAATCCATATATCCTCATTTTATAAACAAGGAAACGAAGGCTCAGAGAGATAGAGGGCTGTGTCTGATCATCTTTAATAATTTTAATGGATATTTCCCAGTGAAAGTCATCATCATAGTAAAAGACTAAACTCTGGGCTGAGATGGGTTTTAAGTTCTTGGCTAGGTTGTGTATTGCCATGCTGGGAAGCAGCACGGGTTCAGTTCCCAGTTCTGACATTAACGAGCTGTGCAGCTTCCGGGTCTGTGCAAGCAGAGGATCGCCCCTGCGAACTCTAAACTTCTTAAATCTAATACTGAGTTGCAGTGGTTGTTGGCCTCACTCAGGTCTGTCCCATTTTAAAAAGCACCTGATTCTCCTTTCTCTCTCTGAAATGTCAAGCATATTTTCCTAAGCAATTTTAGCAGGAGTCAGAGAAACTTTGAGTTTTAAGATGACATTATCTAGATCACAAGTTACCCCGATTCATATTTCTGTGAAGAAAATCTTAGCAAAGCATGTTTGATGAGGTGTTTCTTTTTTCTCCTTTTTTTCTAGTTTCGGGATGTGAACATTTCTGGTTCACAAACTAAAATAACAAATCTATCCCCGTAGCGTTCCGCCTTTAACAGAAGACTCAAAACCGATATCCCATTCTCTAGCCACTCACCAAATATCTGCAAACTACTGAGATGGCTCTACCTTTCGCCCGAGAAGCGATTACTGAGCATTCAAGAGTACAGCTCCTCTCCTTGTTCCCATGTGGAAGGGTCTGCCCGCTTTAGGGAGTTCTGAACTTGCCCACAAAGGAGGACATGTGGCATCAACTCTCCCTCTGCTGACCGTGCCAGCTCCATTCCACGGAGGCCATTTGTCAGATAAGTTCACCTACTGAGCGCCTACTGTGTGCCTGAGTACTGCTCAAGCTGCAAGAAACACAGCAGTAAGTAACCACATATCAGAAAGTGAAATGTTTGTGGCCAGCGTGAAAAAGGAATTAGATTTACAAATAGGTCAGCTGCGGGATGTTACCACTGAGCCAGGAAGGCTCCAGGTAAGAGAGACTGTTCCATCCTTAAGGATTTTCAAAACTGTGAATCTGAAGAATTTTACCAATAACTTCCAATTATTTCAGACTGGTGAAAGGACAAAACTAGCTATTGACAATGTAAAGTATTGTTTAACAAAGAAAAAGTTTCTTAAAAAAAATGAGGTCAAATTGTTAGATGTCACATACTGAAAATTAGAATTATCCCATTTTAGGAGCCCAACCATCACTAGTAATCACTAATATTTGTATCATTGTGAATGAAAATAAATATTCATCAAATAATTTCCTTTAAACCAAAAAAGAATGCAGTATTCTGGCTTCAGTTTGTAGCCACTCAGTCTGGTCCTCACATCTTCATCCACCACATCCTCTCCCACTCTCATTCCCTGCAATTTCAGCTAAAGATGACCTCTTCCACTGCTGCCTCTGGAGCCAGGGCTAGCAGACCATTGCCTGCCGCCTGTTTTTATAAATAAAGCTTTACTGTTACACACCCTCTCCATTCGTTTACCCATGGTCTGTGGTTGCTTTCATGCCATCATGGCAAAGGTGAGTAGCTGTGACACGCGAAATGGCCCACAAAACCTAAAATGTTTACTATTTGGCAGAAAAAATATTTTTGGCCCCCGTTTTGCAGATGGAAGATATCAACAGGGAGGATGCTCCGGGAGGGAAGGAACACCCCCAGCATCTGTGACGACAGTAATGACGTTCAGTGCCTGGGACGAGGACCTATAACGCTTCCAAGTGCTGTCACTGTTTCTCGTGTTGATCCCTGTGGAAAGTCACTGCTCATTCACAGCAATTGGTCCTTTTGCCTTGTAGCTCTGAGAACACAGTACCCACAGGTCAGCTTAGTGAGTGCAACTCTATGAAGACAGATATTTTTTAATTGCCAGGAAACTCAGAACTATGCTGAATTTCACTCAACTTTTGGCACAACTATTAACCTGGACCTACTGTAAAGTTTATTTTTTAGATATAGTGAATTTTAGACATCCCAGGATGACCTTTTGACAGTGATGCTACAGAAAACTTTAAAAGTCCCTCCTTGCTATTTTCCTTGCCTGGCTGTCCTCTACAGTGAACAAGCCTCTTGAAAACCACAGAGAAGGTACTGTTTGCCTTACTCTTCTTCTGAGATTAAGCTCAAAGAAGTGGATGAAGAAATCCCAGTTACTACAACCAAAGAGATTCAACATTTATTTTATCATAAAAGTCCAGCAAATAAAACTATATACAAGATCCATGCAAAGAATCCAATTACACACAAGACACATTTAAAACCTTGTTAAAACACAATCTCCACAACAGCAAGGAATAAAACCGGTAAGACCAAGTATCTTTAGTGAGAAATATAATCGTGTTTATATTTTGGATGCTGCTTGAATCCAATTCTCTCCCCAACAATGAGGCACTGGATCACCCACTCTTGTGACACCACTGGCAGCTGCAGTGCCTCCGCACACTTCAGCACCGAGGCCGGGCACGAGGGGTCCGTCACCACCACGTCAAATACCCCTAAAGCGATATCTGCGGGAAGCAGGGGAAGGTGAACAAGGAAAGGAGACTCAATTTAACTCTCTATTAAAAAGCCAGATGTGCCTTCTAGCCTGTACATCCCACTCTGCCCAAACTAAAACCCTGTATGTCAAACACAGCGTGCAGCTGATCACAACCAAATGTGAAGTTAGCCCTGAATGCAGACCTTACAGAAACGTTTAGCAAATGCACCGCTGGACACCAATCGGAGCACACACAGCCCAGTGCTTCACTCACATTGGCTCACCCCTTGAAGGTGGTGCTTTGCTTCTCTCAGGTTAACCTTACCCGTGTAGCGATCATCAGGGCTCAGACCACAAGGCTTCATTGCTATGGGTCTAAGGATATCCTTGGAGCAACAACCACACATACATTCTTTTCAGGTACCTTTGTTGTGGGCACTTGAATGGTGCTGCTTCACAGAGGCTGCCCCCCCGGTCATGAGGATCTCAGACCAGAGCTCCAGGAAGTTCTGCTGTTGGTCTGAAACCAGGAGTACCTTCAGATTCTGGAAAGGGTTTTCTCGGGGTTGCCTATGAAGGAGGCAGAGACACAGCACCTTGGGATTGGAAGGAGTCTTCGCATGATAGATAATAACAACAGCCCTTCTACGAAGGGACTGAGGTACATCTGGATGCTTTAGAAACCCCTGCATCTGGGCACCACACCCCTCTTTCTGTGAACGATGTGGATTCTCTGGGATCGTGGTCTTCTAATCCACCCCTTCCATTTCCATGTTTGTCCTGGGCCCAGGAATAAGCCAAATCATGCTCCTAAGCCTACTTTTTTTTTTTTTTTTCAATTTTATTGATTTCAGAAAGGAAGGGAGAAGGAGAGACAGAAACATCAATGATGAAACAAAGTCATTGATCGGCTGCCTCCTGCACGCCCCCCACTGGGGAACGAGCCCGCAACCCGGGTATGTGCCCTTGACCAGAATCAAATCCAGGACCCTTCAGTCTGCAGGCCAATGCTCTATCCACTGAGCCAAACCAGCAATGACCTAAGCCTACTAGTACATTTTTAAATGCCTTACTTAAAGCTTAGTCCCCTAACCTTATAGGTTGAGACTATTGAACCCACATGGAAATGCTCACACATTTTCAAAAGGTCTCTAAACAGTGTACCCTAAGGAAGTAAACTAGGTAAACTGCTTAAGTAATCGCAAACCTATTCAAAGTCTGTAATTTATCGTGTGATCATTCCAGTTTCTAGAAATATTTACTCTCTAGATTCTGTCCTCCTGAAGCTGTTGCCTTCCTTTCCACCATTCTATGTGGGCTCTTAAATACTCACCAATCCAGAATTCTCTGCTCCTCAAGGCTGTACCCAGCTGGCAGCAGATAATTGCGGTAATTCTGGAGCTGGTTGGCATGGCAACTGTCATGGACCCAGACATGAGACACACAAGGAATCCCACTGGCAAGGCACAGGAAGTACTTCCGGGTTCGACAATGCTGATCGGCAATCAGGAGACATTGGTAAGCCGTGTTACACTGGAAGAAAAGGAGCAGAACTGATGGGTCTGGTGATGTCTATGCAAAGCCCCCAAACAGTCCATGTCCCAGAGAACAGATCCAAACATCCAATACAGCTGCCCTTGACCAACATGGGTCCACTTACGGATTTTCTCAATTGACCCACACAGTTCAAATCCGTGTTCAGGTCAACTCTGCTGTTGGGAATCCAGGGGGAGGATTCGACTGGTTACATGTAGGTTTTCCACTGCGTGAAAGGTCAGCCCCCTGTAACCCCATGTTGTTCAAGGACCCAAATTATGATTGAGCCTGTCCTGCCCAAGGTCTCTCCTCACTGAAAGGCCCAGGGGCTCCCCATGCCTCACCTGCAGCTTTCTGGGGGCCTAAATCCTGAAGGGACAACCGAACTCCATGTATCCAGCATTTCAGGCAAAGGATCATTGTAACATTGAACATTGTAACAAGGATTTCTATTAAACACAAATTTTAATCTGCTTTGTCCCAACAGATTAACCCAAGACTCTAACTTCTCCTCCTTGTACACAGTACAAGTTCTATTTTATGCAACACCCTTTTGGCCTTTCCCAGTCCCTGAAACCTCTGGCTACTGTCCCTCCTGGGCCTCCTCAGTGCAGCAGGTGGGCTCTCCATCGCTGCGCCCGGGAAGCTTCCCAAAGAACTCCTCACCTGAGCTTCATTGAAGTCTTCGAGAATATAGCCAGCTCCTGCCCGAAGCTGGGACTCTGTGTACTGCTTGTTGAAAGGAGGAATTTCTAAAAATTCTATATATAAAAACAGACAGACAACCAAGACAACGATTACTACTAGTTGGTTTCTTATTCGCTACTTTATGCCTGCCTCTTACTGCCCCCTCTGCCTCCCCAGCTATCTCCAGAGCTCTACATCCCAAAGGTGGCTCAAGGGCTTCCCCGTGGCTCAGAAAGAGACCTGTCTTGAGGCCCATAAAGTGCTGCCAAAAGGACAACAGGAGGGGCAGGAAGATGAGAACGGAGGTAGGTCCCAGACCTACAAACATCGAGCATTTCTGCAGAGACAGTCATCAGACTGTTCATGGGGGATGGACGCAATCACTTCCCATAGTGACACGTTCCAATGTGAGTAACCTTCACCATCAGGAAGCTCTTCCTCATGTCTACCCTATGTCTCCTTCAAACTGCGCCCATTGTCCTAATTCTGCCTTTTGTGGAGAATAGCTAGTTAGCACTTCTTATAACAAAGCCTTCCAATTCTCCCTTCAGCTGTTTTACCCCTTGTGCACTAAAACACTGATGAACCAGACTGCTCAAAGTAGGGTTTTTAAAATTTAAAAGATTAAATGAAGATTAGCGAAAATCCTGTTCAACCTTTTTATTGAAAACTATCTACCTTTGATGATCTTGAAGTACCTCAGGACACTGAACATCAATGACTGCTCTACAGTCTTGAGGGTGAAGTAGAAGTTATGAGAGATGAGGCTGAAGTTGTAATGACCCTAGGCAATTAGAAATCGCTTCTTTTGACCAAATATCTAATTTGAGCTTGTTTTCTTGTCATCTGCTCCTCTCATATATAAATAACACATTAAAAAAAAAGAAAAAAGCAAGACATTAGAGATTTTAGTTAATTCGGGTTTCTGTGAAATTAAGTGCCAACATACTTATCACAAATAAAAACCCAATCAAATGCATAGAAGTTCAATGCCAGGACCATTCCCCTTCCCAGCAGACCCCTGCAGCGATGGCTCCCCCTCAGGTGCCCTCCATGCCTGCTGGAGCTCCCCAGGCAATGTTACTGCCCCAAACTCCGGCCTCTGCACCTTGAGGTCTGATTGGCCAGCCTATTCACTTTTATTGCTCTTTTCTTGATTCAGCATTCTCCACATTTTTCTCAAAATGAAAGAAAACTGGAAATTCTAAAAGGAGTACTTCTCAGCTTTGTCACTGTCCTTTGACCCATCGGAATATATCATGTCAGTTTTCAGTGCCAACCACTCCACTGCCGAGTCCCCGTGGAGGTCCTTTACTTTTCTCGGGACTTCTGTTTTACGTCTGCTTAACCCAGCACTGTGTCTAGCCTTGACCTGTTTAATTACCACTCGTATTTCCTTGCATTTGTGTGATCAAATATTACCTAGGTCTAGGCAGTCCATTTTTCTAATGTTTCTGAATTCGTTTGGATTTAAGTGACCCTGCCCAACCAGAGGCTAAAATGAATAGGTTTTTAATCCCCTCATTTAAATCAAGGATAAAGATACTAAATAAAACCAACTCCAGAGTCACTCCCTGTGGCTGATGGGTCCCCAATGGAATGCCACCTACCAAGACAGGGTTCAATGCTCTTAGCTATTTAATAAATGTCTGAAGTTAAATTCAAATATTTTACTGAGCTCCTGGCATCAAAGAGATTCCCATTTATTTGCAAAACATATCACATAGTTTTTGAAAACTACTACAGAAGGTTGTTTTAGTGCAGGTGTCT